AGTTGTAGATGCATTTGAAGCGTGGAGAGGGTGGCATACGGAAGGGAGTTCCCGGCGTTTATTGAGTGTTTACGAGGCGTGGGATGGCGACTGTGCCTGGCTTGGATCGAACTTACGAGGACGCTTACGATTGATAAGATGATCGAAAGTGCCAAATGTTAATCAAAGTTTTCTTGACACCTTCACCCGTCTGTGTAAAGCGCGTGTCGTGTACTACTAAGTTTGATCTTCAATGTATCTGACTAACAATCGCAAGATGACGTCTTCCTTCCTGCATAGTATATGCATGGTACTAGAATGTTCGCAGCAGCTACCAGAGTCTCCATTGCTGTTTCTGGGAAAGTGTACGGGACGCGTCTTGCGCATATGCTCAACCTGGCCTATTCATGTCAAACACATGGCAGTGTCGGTAGGGTAGCGATCGAGGCTGAAGGAACTCCGTGTGCGTGCGGTTGGATACATGGTCAGCGCTTCTTTTTTCCAGGAAATTTCATCGTCCATCACTAGCAGAGAGCAGGTGGCAACATGGTGCATGTCCTCCCCTCGTGGTCGCCATGTCGGGTGCTAGTCAGAGTCGCAGTCTCCTTGCACCGTGTGGAACCAGCGACGCACACGAGAACCCTGTCCGTCTTGGCACCTCATGGGTAGAGCATGCAACCATCCACTTCGCCGACACGAGTGCGTGGACGTATTTGACTGTATAGCCTCGTGCAGCAGCATGCGCAGTGTTTCCCTGTGACTCCCGTCTTTTCTTTTTCACTTTTGGTTGCGTCTTAATTCTGTCGTCCGGCTCTCCATTCTGCTGACGGCCGCCCCTTTCGCGAACTATCCGCCTCCGGTCCTTAGAGCGCACGTCGGCATAAACCCTGCTCTGAGGCCCGTACCGCTACATCCCATAGCATAGTGCACCAACACCGCCGCATTGTCGGGCTATCTACCAGGTGGGAACCGCCCACCCACCACCACCACCTCAACTACCACCAGCATGGCGGCCTCGGTCACCTCCAAGATGGCGGCGAGGGCTGGTGGAGGGCTGTTCAGTCGAGATCAGACAGGCAACGTGCCTACCATGCGAGGTATGCGCACTTCCCGCCAGCACCATTACCACCAGCGACCGCAGCTTACTCATTGTGCGCAGGACTCGTGTCGTTTATCGCTGACTTGAGAAATGCTCGCGCCCGTGAGCTCGAGGAGAAGCGGATCAACAAGGAATTGGCAAACATACGGTGGGTGCATGATGCCGCGTTCTAAGCAACATCGGATGGCTAACAACGTTACAGGCAAAAGTTCAGAGGTACTACCCACCTGCGTTTTCTGCTTGCTTTGGTCTGACAATAATTCCATCAGATGCCGGATTGAACGGCTACCAGAAGAAGAAATACGTCTGCAAGGTACATAAGCCGCAGCACAACCACATCCATCCTTACTGACAGTCGCAGCTCCTGTACATATACATTCTCGGTTGGAACGTCGATTTCGGACATCTCGAAGCGGTCAATCTTGTCTCGGCCACCAAATACTCGGAAAAACAGATTGGTTACCTCGCCGTTACTCTATTCTTACACGAAGAACACGAACTCCTACACCTGGTCGTCAACAGCATTAGAAAGGACCTGTTGGATCACAATGAGCTCAACAACTGTCTGGCATTGCATGCGATTGCAAACGTGGGTGGCAAGGAGCTGGGAGAGGCATTGAGTGCGGAGGTTCACAGACTCCTCATCTCACCGTAAGTTCCATAGGACGAAGCACATGACAAGGCTGACACGGCATAGGGCTTCCAAAGCATTCGTCAAGAAGAAGGCAGCCCTCACACTTCTGCGTTTATACCGGAAACACCCTGCAATCGTGCAACACGAATGGGCCGAACGAATAATATCGCTCATGGATGACCCCGACATGGGCGTTGCACTCTCCGTCACATCACTAGTCACGGCACTCGTTCAAGACAACGCCGAACAATACAAGGGAAGCTACGTCAAGGCCGCGAACAGGCTCAAACGGATAGTAGTCGACAATGAGTGTGCCGAGGGATACTTCTACTACAAGGTGCCTTGTCCCTGGATCCTGGTCAAGCTGCTCAAGCTATTGCAGTACTACCCACCTCCTGGTCTGTATACCCTCTGGTCACCTGCAGTGGACTCTTACTAACCAAAGCAGAGGATTCGCATATTCGATCACTCATTCGTGAGTCGCTTCAGAAGATCATGGACTCGGCGCTCGAGATGCCAAAGAATGTGCAACAGAACAATGCGCAGAATGCCGTCCTTTTCGAAGCAATTAACCTTGTCATTCACCTCGATACAGAGCAAGATCTAATGGTGCAGATTTCACAGCGACTAGGCAAATTCATCGCCTCTAGGGAGACTAACGTGCGGTATCTGGGACTGGAAGCCATGACGCATTTGGCTGCTCGATCAGAAAACCTCGACCCCATTAAGAAGCATCAGGCCATCATTATCGGCTCTCTAAGAGACAGGGATATTAGCGTACGGAGACAGGGTCTGGATCTACTCTACAGCATGTGTGACCCGACAAATGCCCAGGCAATCGTGAACGAACTCTTACGCTACCTGCAATCCGCCGACTATGCTATACGAGAAGAGATGGTACTCAAAATTGCAATTTTGACCGAGAAGTATGCTACGGATGTTCAGTGGTACGTCGACATATCGTTACGATTGATTGCAATGGCGGGAGACCACGTCAGTGACGAAGTGTGGCAACGTGTTATTCAAATCACCACCAACAACGAAGAACTCCAGGTGTATGCCGCCCAGACTATCCTACAGTACATCAAGGCGGACTGTCACGAAACGCTTGTAAAGATCGGAGGATACTTGCTTGGAGAGTTTGGTCATTTGATTGCGGACAACAAAGGATGCAGTCCGATCGAGCAATTCATGGCACTGAGCGCAAAGATGCGAGGCTGCTCATCAAGCACGAGAGCCATACTTCTCTCGTGCTATGTCAAGTATGTCAACTTGTTCCCTGAGATCAAGCCACAGCTTCTCCAAGCATTCCGCGCTTACAGCCACTCACTCGACTCGGAGCTTCAGCAAAGAGCATGCGAATACCTTACCCTTGCTACGATGCCAACAGACAACCTATTACGAACCGTATGCGACGAGATGCCTCCATACCCAGAACGAACATCAGCCCTACTTTCACGACTACATCAGAAGCACGCCACTACCAGCGACAAGCGGACATGGGTCGTCGGTGGCAAGGACGCGAATGCAGACCTCAAAGAGTTCGGTCTTGCAAGGTCGAATACATCTGCTGGTGTCAAAAGAAGCCTCACAGAGCCATTGTCGAAAGAAGCCAGGACTGGTGCAGCGAATGGCTCAAACGGTGTTGCTACAATTTCGAGCGACCTGGAGGGTCTTGACCTGAACATTGACATGACCACGTCCAAAGCACCGAACCTTGCAAGCGCTGCTCACTTGAGTCCAGACTGGGAAATTGGATACAACCGCCTCCTTCTCCGGCCTGAAGGAGTGTTGTATGAAGATCAGCAAATACAAGTTGGTTTGCGGACGGAGTACAGAGGGCAACTGGGTGCTCTCATCTTCTACTTTACGAACAAGTCACAGTTCCCGATGGGCTCATTTACCACGACGCTCGACAATAGATCTTCGGAAACCCTGAAGACAGATATCAAGGGTCTGCCAGATACTACGATCCCGCCCGAGGGCCAGACCCAGCAAACAATCATGTTCGAATGCAAGAATGTCTTCGTCGACCCACCTACCATCCGCATATCCTACCTTGCAGGCGCTCTACAAGCTCTGACCCTCCAACTTCCAGTACTCCTACACAAGTACATGGAGGGTGCCGAACTCAGCTCAGAGGATTTCTTCAAGCGCTGGAAGCAGATTGGCGGTGCTCCCCGCGAAGCACAGAGTATCTTTGGTCTCGTTAATAAGAACAGAACCATGAACTCAGACTTTGTACAAAAGGTGGTCAAGGGCTTCAAGTGGGGTATTGTCTCTGGTGTAGACCCCAATGTGAAGAATGTGGTTGGTGCTACAGTGTTGCATTCAAGCGAGGGCAAGTTCGGATGTCTGCTGAGACTGGAGCCGAACTTTGAGACTCAGGTATGTTGAGATTATGGCAAAAGACGCGCATCAAACTAACGCCGTGTAGATGTACCGCATCACTATTCGCGCCACTGACGAGTCGGTACCGCCTGTCCTCGTGAAGGCCATGGAGAGCCGGCTTGCGCAGGGCATTGAAGGTCTAGCTTAGGCACCAGACCGCTACGCTTCGTAAATACGATATTCTTACGCCGTAACCCGTTCAATTGAGGCACCTGTTTCGGACAAAAAATTCAGAGTGTTCATAAATTTAATCATATTGGTGGAGACATGGAAGAGCCTGCGATAATGGAGACTGTTTAGAGTATGAAGTCGTGGGAGAAGACAATGGTGGAAGTGATGCGCATACCCTTTAAGTCACATAGCATGAGCAAGCACACATTGGAGCGTTTGTTTTGCCATTGGTAGTGGAATTATTTTTTGCGCCAATTATACCGCGTGTCCTTGATATATGGTGTGTGACGACTTTAACCGCACGTACTTGGGATTGTCTCTACTGAAAGCACCAAGTAGAAAAGTCACCTGATTCTCACGCAGGTACATGGACGCAAAGGACGAACTACTAGAATGCGGCAGAAGTGCCGGCATACCTGTTGGACTGGAAACACGGGTGAGAGACGGAGGCGGGGTCTCGGCGTGAACCATACGAAGCCGTCACGGCCAGGTCAGTGATGGGATGCCACTCCGGTTGGGCCTGTCACTCTGGCCAATCATCTCGGCTCCAGATTCGGACAAATAGTGCGGAGGCGGGAGGCGTGCAACCATCACGTGCAGCGACACCCGTCACCCACGCCTTGTCCCATCTCTCGTGTTTATGAAGACGACAGCTGTTCCGTGGCCTAATACACGCGCGCTTTGACGTCTACCCTGACAGCGAGACGTGCTGTTGTTTGCGCCGAAATGTTGGCCACCTTTGCCGCTAACAACGAGTTTTTCAGGAAGCGCAAAAGTACGACCAACAAAGTGACAGAGCGGCGGTGCGCGAGACAGGAACAAGTCAGCTAACGGCACCGCAGGAGTCCACCGCGCATGTGAATCATGCAAGAAGCGGAGAAAGCGCTGCAGCCACACTTTTGACGACGAGGGCAGTACTTTTGAAGACGACAAGGCCAGTACTGGAATCGGAAGCTCTTCCCAAAGTGGACACGCACCCAACCATACCTCAGATCCTCGTGGGCCTTCTGCGAACGGGCATTACCATGCCCAAGATCCAAGAGGGCCCCGTGGGGACCTGCATTCTCACGGCCATGCCCAGTCCACAATGCCGCCGTCACAAAGCCCGGCCTCCGACCAAACCGCCCAGACTCCACCAAACTTCTTGGGCTACCTGAACCCAGAAGCTGTCTTGCGAGAGCAAGTCCATTCGGAGCGAGGAAAGACAGCATCATCGCCCGGCCCACCTCCTATCGGCCAATGGGTTGAGGAGCGAGACCAGAGGCCAAATTCGACGCAGATAGGGCCCCATACTGCGCGTATCGTCGAAACAGGACCGCAGTCTAACCAAGAATCTCAAATATCCCGCGCTCTCTTGACGTATCTGGAAGCTGTCGGGGTAGATATTCTGCCCTCCCGGGCAAACCAAACTGCCCTTCTTGAGATTTACTTCAACTACGTTCATCCCCTGCTGCCACTGGTGGATAAGGATCTCTTTTACGAGCAATACAACCATGGCCGAGAACCTAGGATACTGATGCAAGCAATCTGCATTGTGGCATCGAAGCACGCAACCGCTGCAAAACACCTATACCTAGGAAACACTGCTCAGCCAATGAACCCGCGCGAGTTTTCACAGAGACTGTACAATGCCGTCATAGTCGGAATTGAAGCAAAGCTCGAAAAGAACCGTGTCGTGCTCATTCAAGTACTCGCTTTGATATCACTCCACTGCGAAGGACCAGATGGCGCTGAGCAAGCTTCGATGCATCTTGCTCAAGCTATACATCATGCTCACACATTCGGTCTCCAGTTTGGTCACCAGTGGAAGAATCAGAGCTCCGAGTCGCAAGGCAACCTGGAAGATGTCTTTTGGTGTTTGTGGAGTCTTGACAAGATCAATGCCTGCATGAATGGACGTCCTCTACTTATGCATGACCGAGACAATAGCTTGAGGCAGCTGCCATCGGATCCCGAGAAGCGGTCGAGCCCTTTTGGTATCTGGCTTCAGATATCAGAGATGCTGGACAAGGTCATTGATTACTACCGGCCTGGTAGAGCAGCCGAAGAGACGGGTTGGGAAGGCGATGACTTTCTGGGATTCGAGGAGATGGTTGGAGATGGTGAAGACAAACTCGATGGTCCGATTATGAGTGAGTGCTCAAGTTGGTATTGTATCCATGATTTCCTGACATGTCTAGGTCTTTTGTCACTGTTCCACCATACCATGTGCATGGCTTCACACAAGTCACTTTCGATTAATGCCCCAGTCAAGTCGACACCTTCGTATGTTCGCCAGAGTCTGTCAGCAACAAGAGTCATCCATCTTCTCAACGCCGAATCTCCTGAGCTCCTTCCGCCACTACCCATTGTTCCGTATGCGCTCGGAGTAGCTCTCAGCGTAGTATACCGCCACTTCCGGTCCCGCCGTCTCAAGGTCCACGTCAATCGCGCTACTGAAGAACTGAAGCAGTGTGTACGTCTGCTCGATCGTCTACGTAACGCATGGTGGGCAGCAGGCACAATGGCCGATCTCGGACGAGCAGTCCTCAGCAACGCAGCCGGCCGCAACACCACAACTGCTAATACGCCCATGCCCGTAACATCAGAGCCCCGTCACCCCGAATCCAAGACTGGCCCTCCAACACCACAGAACCCACAAAACACCCAAGCCCCACCCTCTAATCAGCCCCAACACTGGCAACAAGATATGGAAACTCGCATCGACCCCCGTCTCCAACACAACCAGCAGCCTCATTCCCACGCAAACTCACCCATGACTAGTCTTCTGAATCCTATACCACCAACACCTGGCCAGCACCCAACGAGCAGCGAGCGCGCCGATCGAGCGCCCTTGACGGGTCCTCCAGCGGGCTTCGGCTTCGCAGAGCAATCACCCGACTGGCTCAATTTCGACGCTGCGTTTGAGAATTTCGAGGGCTTGTTGGGGAGTTCGGGCGCGGACCTGAGTAATGAGTTGTTTAAGCCGTTGGGGTATGAGACGCTTGAGGGATTTTTGGATCCTGCTGCTTGATGGGAGAGGAAGTCGGTTTTACAGGAGTTGTGGTTGTGGTTGTATATATGTCTGTGGCTATGGACATGGGGTGGGTTTTTCTTAATTAGGTTGGGCGGGTAATGGTTTGCTGTTTTGATGGAAACATTTGGGTCTGGATTGGGAAATGGATGAACAACAATATAGTTATGGGTGCTTATGAGAAATATTGCAATGTTTTGAATGTGAGATTTTATCTTTTATTATTGTCGACACATCTTGTTACTCGGGACTTTCGTCATTAGTCTCTCTTTACAGCTTGGGGATACAGCATGCACTCCGAATCCTGATCAAGATTGCATCATCCCATGATATCTCAACGCTGTATTCAAGTAGATACGAATATGTTTTACCTATGTCATCGATTAGGCACGTTATGTTCTGGAACTGTAGCATTTTTTTTCTTCGCAGCAAGTATTTTTCGGTGTATCTGGAATGCGAAACGAGGGAGATCACATATGTCGATAGATCAGGTTACAGGAATCAGGAGGGGATATTGGACATGCATGTAGCGAACAAAAGAGAAGAAGACAAGTAAACAGAATTGTTTTACGTAAATAAAGGCAGATACCACGCTGAAGAGAGAAAGTATGCTATTTTCAGTAAAAAACCGCGTCACTGATTATTCGTACTCGACTCTAACTCTTGCAGCACCGCTGATGGGAGATTATAAAACAAGCACATCACAGTACCTATTTACAGAATCCCTATTTCATAATGAGAAAAAGTAATTATTTCTCTTTCCATTCCAGCTCTAAATCTCTGCACACGTTACTGAGGCCACTAAATCAATGCTGATGAATGCTGTGGCTGCCAAAACAAGCATGATTAAAGAAAATAATAATAATACAGCCATTACATCCATATTTGCTAAGTAAAAAAATGCGGGTCATCGTGTTTACTATTCAGCTAGACGCAAATCGAGTTTCCACTGGTGTTGTTTTTATTTTCGTACCTACTAGCTTGGGATAATCTCGTAATATCGGTTCAGCACCGCCCATTCTGCTGACGAAGACCCCCCCAATACGAAAAAAAAGTACGAAACTAGACTCACCCCACTTCCAAGTGCCGCGTATACTGGTACTTCTATTTTTTTTTCCCAGCTTCCACTCCCCCTATTTTTGCTGACGGAGCGGCCGGTAGTGGAGAGAGACTAGACTTTATTGGTGATTCAAGAAAGTTTTTACGTGCGGCATTATGGTTTTCCGATGACGACGACGACGACGACGACGACGACGACGACGACGACGACGAATGTCTGAGATTCACGGTTGTTGCCGCTGCTCTTGTCTCCACCATCAGCACCCAGCCCAGCTTGAGGAAAAGTTTATTCAAAGGGGCCTGAGGCAGACTCACTCTCACGCACACACATTACGGTTGCTCAGCATATGCCACACCTGAGCTGAAGAGCGAGGTCTTTCTTTGTTCCAGTAACCGCCCAAAGTCCACAACGCCACTCACCCCTATTACTCACAGCACGAAACTAAAAACTATGCAGACCATTTCATGGCGGACCAACCTCGATCTCAGCAGGATCACAGGTGTCTTACACTCCCACCCTCAACCTCTCACCACTCCGCCTCGCCCATGCATATCCATCCGAGACACCGGCGCCAAACCTACCCATCCAAAGACTCCCAAAAAAAGAAGAGCCGTCCATGTGTAGGACTTTGAGTACGTACATTCTTATCCGCACCATGCCTGTTGGCCCAACCAAGTAAACTCCTACGCCGCATCCATGCCTTTGCATGGCACCAGCGCGTATGTACAGTAGATATCGTACATTTACCTTTTTGCGGTAAACTTGTTCAAACTCCACACATCATAACCCCCCCCCCACCAACAACACCGAGAGAAGGGAGCGGCGGCTCTACGGTTACCAGAGCTACAGCCGCCCGGGTTGAACAGTGACTTACATATTTTTGATACACGCACATACATACGATATATTCATAGAACGCGTTGGTTCTGAGGTGGGGAGGGGGGAGTGATGCGGCTAATGCGTAGTGTATGTAGACCCGGGCGGTTAACCAAACCCCCCTTCCCCCCCGCTACTATTTTCAGTAACGACAACCCGCTCTCTCTCTCTCTCTATTTCTTTGAATGTCCCACCTCCAACCATCTTCTGTGGTGAACCCCCCCCCTCTCCCCCCCCCGCAAAACGCCACGAACGCAAGTGCAACCGTGCTGAAAAAGTTATGGCGTGCAGATGCGTTAACCGTGCCGCGGGGAAGGGGGGGGGGCGGAGAAGGCGGAGCCCCTCAAGGACCCCTTGCTTTGTCCACTCGAAAGGGTTCAACACATGCTGACGCGATGTTGTTTCGTTTTGTATGTATCTAAAGGGAGGGGGAGGCGAAAGGGCAGGTTGCAGGTAGGTATCTACGAATGGATAGATGGGCGTTACGCGGATGGCTGATGTTATACACTCTACCGGGCGTCTATGTACACCAGTAGACGCGTATGCGTTTTAGTATAGCATCAAGACATGTATGTTACGAGGTATGCTGGTAACATCAAACATGCTGACGAGAGGGGGATTCATCATAACTGGTGACATGTGCAGATGGGCTGATGGGCGATTTTTTTTTAAACCACCAAGCATGTTCCCTTCGTAAGTGTATGTGTATGGATGGCGGTCTGACGACCAAGTCACGGTGCTACCATGGGTAAACGTAAACGCGAGTGTAGCTCTTACTCAACTCCGCCCGCCCATCCGCTCCGCCCCATGTTGAAGGGACACTTGTTTCAGATTCAGGTTTGAAGACGCTGACGAAGAAAAAAAGGTGGAGTGAGCGAGAGAGAGGCGGCGGAGCGGGTTACGTTGGTTGCGCAATCGAAACCCGACCGGTGAGGCGGGAAGAAGAGAGACATATTGGCCCAAGTGGCAAAGTATGGAATACGGGGGTGGTGGTGGTTTCTGGTTCCGTTGTTGGGCCCGTTGGGCCGGTGTACGAGAATGGTTATTCGCGGGTTACATGGTACACATAGGCTACCACAGCCTCGTTGCGCGCGCTTGCTTGCTGCCTGCGAGACAAGAAGTTTCGTAGGGTGAATCCGTGTAAGGAATAACCCTGTGGCGAAAAGAAAGAAGAAGATGGAGCTTGTAAATGTGTCGTCAATGCCAAAATGAGGCGAAACATGGTACTCGCAACGAGCGTCATCAGCCGCTGTGCGCGTGAGCAGCCGGTAATACGTAGTAGTTTGGGTCTCTTTTTTGCCTTTCCTTTCTTTTTTTGGGATCGCTAGGTTGCAGGGCTGCCCTCCCCAACGGCCCGCCTGGCAGACCCTGCGCGACACACCGATTTAGACAGGAAGAGCGCAACCACGTGAGAAGCGATACACTATTGCGGGTGTGCACAGAGCCCCGGAATCTCGTGTTTGCTGCAGCGAAAAAAAAGGTTCGTGCATGTGCAGACTGGAGAATGAGGCTGAGTGGGTGGCGAGAAAGTAAGGTTTTGGTTGATTCAAGCAAGAGTCACATGCTCGTAGGCAGAAGGTTGATCGAAAGGGGGAGCATGATGGCGCAAAAAGGCGAGCTCACGTGCGCGGGCGGCTTGAGATGGTGCTCGATACAATTCATGGGCAGGCGGCCCAACGCTAGACAAGCTACAAGGTTGGCGCCTGTAATGCCAAATCGCTTATGGCGGCTACGCTCCCTCCGTGGGAGGAAGGAGAGAAGGAAAACGCTATGGCGGTGACGTAGAGCTATTGAGCTTGGGGGGCAATATGTCGGCACGACTCTTTGAGATTTTTATTTGCTCATGCAACAAAGGGCCGTCGGGGAGGAAAAGAAGGTGAGAAGAAAGTTATGAATAGCAGTACGCAAATGGAAGGAGGTGGTCTTGGCAACAGCTGACTTGGAAGGTGCCGAAGAATGCTAGAATAGAGCAAGGGGGTGTGTTGAGAGGAGAAATAATCGGGAGATCATCAGATTTCATTATGACTGCATAACTCGCCGTAAGTACAATACGTTGGTTTTCAGTGGCCCCGACAAGCGTGGTGCTGGTGCGATGTGCACAGGGCAAATATCGTACACATCATCAAAGGTTGCAAGGGGAAGAAAAGAAGACGATAGAACAGAGTATGGAAAGAAAAAAAAGAGGGTCCGCTGGGCCCCCTAAAACCATGAGCATATTTGCTGCCAGTAAAGCAACAGATAGATTATTGTTTCCTTAGTCATTAACAACGACGATCCGGCGCAACTCCCCTAAAGAAAATGGTGCCACTTTCTTGCGGCTTGGTGGAAATTTGGGGCCAACAAACAAAGCGAACAGAACAGCGTCAAGGTCATAACTTTACTATAACTTACTAGTCTGAGCGGCGCGGGTGTGCCAGCACGCCCAAGGGAAAAAAAAGAAGACTATGGCCAAATAATAATTTAAAAGGGCCATTTGGAAGGAACGACCACGACGGCATACACCGGAAAAGGCCCGAAAAGGACGTGCCGCCGATCCAATCTTGCGAGGGAGAAAGAGAGCGAGGAGAGAGAAAGGGCAGGATTTAGGTTTGGGAAAAGTTTGGTTCGGTGATTAGCTGCCGCTGACTAGGGGGATGGGAGGGGGCACTAGGACACGTGTATGCCAATGGAGAGAAGCAACAAAGCTCACACCCCAATGTGATCTTCGGTGCCGACTAGAAGGGACCCTTTGTAAGCGAAAGATTTGGGAGTTTAATTTCGAGGCGCCAGCGAGTTGGATTCCATGGAATCATGGCCTATGCGGGCGATCTTGTGAACCATGGTGGAGCAAAAGACGGGTGGCTTTCCCTAAAAGTGAGTTTTCTTGGGAGGGGGAAGTTGTTCAATGATGATTATGATGGTCGGCTACGCTGAGTCCAGTGTTGGGGTTCTTGGGACGGTGGGCAAGCCATTGTATCATGAGGCCGATTACCCTGAGCATCCGCGGCCGTATCATTGGCGTGACATGCAAGTGAGCATTGTTGGGCGAAAGTGGCTGATGCGATGATGAAGAAAAGAAAAGAAAAGTCTATCTGCACACACGGGTTCCTTTCCTTTGTGTGTCCAAGGACGTAGGCTGCAGAGTTGATCCAGAGGGTCCGGGTATAGCAACTTTGGAGAGTGTATAGGTGTATCAGAAATATAGTGATGTGCAGGGTACTGCATCACTTGGCGGGCGGGCGGATATGATGACATTTCTTGTGACTGTTCAGCCGTGTGCGGCAATCATGGCTCAAGACGCGCAAGTCAGTCCGAGAGATGCCCCACTAGCGCCGATGCCATGGTAAGTAGACAGTGTCAGACAGAGATGGATACAGTAAGCATGGAGCGATACAACGGCCAAACCTGCTGTGTCGGAACAGCTGACTACCCATGCAGATAGTCCTTCTGCAGTGCATGAGTTGTGTAGTAAAAGAAAAAAGTAAACACAGAACGCCCCCACGAAGTTTGGTCGAGCCATGGCAGTGGCGAAACGTTAATGCCTGAATGACTAAGGGTTGATCTGACAGGTTTGCGGGCCGACTGTAAGCGGCATTCCGTATGGCCTGGTACGATGCAAATCTACTATTTTATTGTCGAGAATACGAGATGCAGAGCTATTGTAATGTAGACCTAGTAAATAGTTGAAGCTATACCGAGAGAACACGGCCACATTGGGTGGCGGCATTGCCGAATGCAAGGCAAGGACGAGGGTCGTCATTACACTCTGTGTGACAGGTATATGTAGTCTTTTTTAGATGTTTATAATAATAGGCATGCAGCACTTGGACAGTTATGCCATCGATAGACACGGGAAGTGCGAGCAGTAGCTAGTTAGTATGTATACGTTTGATAAAGAGCCAAGCCAAACCAGAGCTAAGCAAGTAGATGGGAATGGAGAATTTACGATGCCAGTTGGATGTTGCTCATGAATCGACACTGTAGTTTTGAGGCCGAATGAACATGTTTAGTTTCGCAGGTGAGGATCAAAAGGTCACAGCATGAGACCTGTCGTGTCATGAGGTTGAATGACTGTGTAAACAACTCCTTTCTTTTGTAAAAGCAACAATACCCTTTGGGCAAATCAATGAGGCAGGACCAACCAGAGCAAAGCAAGGGTAGTAAGATGAGGCTGGACACGTATCTACAAGTGTATCTGGTGACCGTCTAGTTTCTACTCGGATGGAGCAAGTAGATTGCCATGGTGGCTGGTCTCAGTCGACCGGTAGGCGCCACGTCGCAGAATGTACCAGCCATCAAGAGCAATGCCGTGCAGACGAGAGGGTGGAGTGGATGTTTTGTTGCTCACACGGCCGCGGTTAGAGTTTGAGGAGGCTAGGAGGTTGACATGGAGGGGGCAGGCTTATTGTCCAAGGGCAGCTATCGATAAGAAGGTCAAACGTAGGTACCGGAGCTAGGCCAATGACAGCTCGCTTGACTCCATCTGGCGGTGAATATGTAACTTTGGACAAGTCGACTGAAACGCTCAAGCTTTGCGGAGAAGACATGGCAGGGAGGAGTGCATGAATGCGAATCAGACATTTGCATGGATGGCACACGCACACATGGCTGAAGAGTAGTTTGGGGGCGGATGGAAAGGGAGGGGGTGAAAGGCAGAGGCAGATGACGAGCAGATGCTGATGATGATGATGATGATGATGAACAATGGTGCATTGGGGGGATGCATACGAGGCATACCACATGGCTGCAAGTGGTCGAGCGGTACTTAGCACTGTGCAAGTAATGTGCTGCTGTGTGAAGAGATTGCTAGCGCAGGCCAGGCAGATTAGCACCGCGTATACATTGTGGCTCAGCCGTCACCCGCGGCCATGCCCTTGGGAACGGCTCTAGTATGTGATGAGAGGGCCGACGATATTGTGGCCGCCGTGGGAGCGGCGTGCGAAGGAACAATTTCGCTCATCGATGATCTCCATTGTCTCTGCTCACAGACTCACAGACTCCCGTTCTCGTAGGTTTAGCCAGCCGGGCGGCGGACCTGATTGGCGTCTGTGCCCACGCACGGATGAGGACGGAAAGCAAGGAAAAAGAATTGGAAGCTGCAGGTGGGTTGCACGGGTGTCTCGCTTGCAGACAAGGTTTGCAATCTGGCGGATATGGCAGCTTCTGACGGTTCGTATGCAGACATGGATACGGGGGGTGGTGGATGCTAGAGCGTTATTAGGATTCGAGCGGGTACGAGTGGAAGGGTGTGGAAGGGTGTGGGTGTGGGTGTAAGTAGTAGGAGTGGGCGGTGGAAGTGCAAGTGGAAGCAGTCATGGAAGCAAGGCCAGCTGTACTGTTACGATTCACAGGCCGAGTGGGTGGCCGTGGATCACGACGAGTTGGCGACCGGTATATTGCGCAATGCGCCACGACTGCGACTGGCAAGACGACGACGACGAATGACCGGTGTGACTGGGACAGCAACGAGGCGGCGACGGTGGTGGGCGGTGACGGGCAGTGGTCACAGGACAGGGTGGAGGACGGTGATTGGCACAAAAGTCAGAAATGATGGCGGGTGGGATTGGCTGGGGGTGGACACAGGGTGGAAAATTCTGGTAGACGTAGCGCCACGGCAGGAGCAGGAACGAACGGTTCGGTTAGTCATTGGCACAGAGGGCAATATGGGCAGGCGGCCAATGGCGACGAGTCACCGCGGGCAGGCGCTGGGCTGGATCGGGCAGCGGCAAGCAGGGCCCCAGGGAAGGCGGCTGTTCACGTTGGTGGCCACGGAGCCAGAGGGCAGGAGCGAGCCAGGACACGGGCAGTGGGCGCGAGCAGCGAGCAGCGAGCAGCGAGCAGCGAGGGAAGGAGCATGGCAGATTGAGGGACAGACCCTGTTGCTGCTGGCGTGTGGAGGGAGGGCGCGAGGCAGGAAGCCAGCCACTCCACCCACTCGAAACCGAAACGCGAGGGCAGGAGCGAGATTGAGATTGGAGGCCGCAGTGGGCCTGGTTGCTTTCGAGGGCTTGTTGGTGTGGCATGGCATGGCATGGTAAGGGCAGGACCTGCGGGCGGCATGACAGTCAAAGATGCAGGCCGCAGTGCCGCAGCGTTGCGAGATCGTCGTTTGGACGGGCGTGCATTCGTCATGGGAGGGGGGCCAGCGCAGACTATCGAACGCCGGCCGTGCACTCGCACTCGCGGCTTTTGTCGACGTCGTCAGCCTGGCCGGGCTCTGGCACATGGGCGCCGAGGGCCCAGACGGCGCTAGAACAGAAGCGGACTAGGGCCAATCTCTCAGCCTTTGGGTGCTTTGGGCCTGGGGCGCGGCGCGGTCGTTTTCGGAGGGCGAGTGGGCCCGCGCGGTGGGCCGTGACAACTATCGAGCGAGGCTTGGGACGGCGGGCATAGCGGCCATGGATGGGCGGAGGCGGCGAATCAGTGGCAGGCAAGAGCAGGGCGACAGGTGTCCTCGCTGCGGGCTGACGAGCAGCGCAGCGCAAGTCGACGACGGCCACGGCAGAGTGCAGGCGGGCCCCTCGAGGCTGCTGCACTTGTCGCGTCGAGCCCCCGCTGGTGGTGTGTCACCCTCGCCCTGCTGACGGCCCAGCTGATTCGCCCTTGGCCACAGCCGACGGCCAGCCGCCATGATTCACACCCTCCCACCCGGTAGCTGCATGACGGCCTTTGTTGGACCCCCTAGCCTCCACCGCGCCCGCCTGGACTGGCCACAGACGGCCCACGCCCTGCTGCTGCGCCCGCTTGGACCACCTCTGCCCCCAGCACGCCGGCCAGGGTGCGCTGCACTGCACCACTCGACAGGCGCCAGTGGATCCAGACGTTAGCCTGCCTGTGCGTCCGTGTGCCACTCTGTGTGTGGGTGTGTGTGAGTCTGAGGGCAGCGACGAGTGTGAGCGATGGCGCATATCGCTCATGGCCGCCTGCACTCGCTCTGTCGCCCCATCCACATTCGTCATAGCGCCCCTCCTTCCCTATATTTACCAAAGACCGGGGCCACCCGCCTGGCCAATAGCCGCCCGCCGACGCCCCAGCTCGCCTCTCTTTATCACTGCTGCCCAGCCGTGCCCATACACATACATCATATCCCGCCTCACACTTTACATACACACCCTCCTCCCCGACTACTTACCACTACCTCCTCCACAACAACAAACAACAAACAATCCCTTCCTCCCTCTCTCTCCTCTACCTCTACCTCACACCAACTATAACTCCTTTTCACACACGCTCTCACACACAATCACATTCCTTCGCAAAAAAACCTTTTCGCTCCTGCTCCCTGCCAAAAAGGTTTCTGCACAACCACCATCAGACAAGTCACGTGACTTGCCTCTTCCGGTTGACTCACCAAAAAACCACATATCCTTTATAATAGCGTCTTCTTTCTAGTCGGAGCCCTCCGTCCAGGATTTTCTCGTTGCCTCTTTCCTCCGGACAAAGGCCACTCTACCGCATTTCCCCGGACTCTCCGCTGACTTTGTCCTTGAGGCCTTGATTGGACCTGCGAGGACTCTTCACCTCTTCCATCCCAACCATTAACATGTACCCGACGCCCCCAGCTTCTCCCTCCCAAAATGGATTCTGCGCGCCGGAAGATCGCTTAGGCCAAGTCCTGGCTGGACGCCTCCAGCTGACTGGCGTCCTTGGTGTTGGAGCCTACGGCGTTGTCTACACAGCCGTCGACATCCAGACCAACATTCCCTATGCCGTAAAGGCGCTCAACAAGGTTGGTCTTGAGCCTCGCCAAAGAAAGTTCCAGCAGCGTGAGATCCAGCTGCACCACCAGGCCAGCGCACACCCCAATGTCGTCTCGCTCGTCAAGATCATGGACGCGCCTGACTGCACCTATGTGGTGATTGAGTACTGCCCAGAGGGCGATCTCTTCTCAAACATCACCGAGCAGGGCAAATACGTTGGTAATGATGCCATGGCCAAGCGCGCCTTTCTCCAGGTTTTGGATGCCGTCGAGTACTGCCACTCCATTGGAATCTACCACAGGGACCTCAAGCCGGAAAACGTTCTCGTCACTGACCAAGGAATGACCTGCAAGCTTGCCGATTTTGGACTCGCCACCACTGACCCCGTTACCTCGGACTTTGGCTGCGGCTCGACCTTTTACATGTCTCCAGGTAGGATTATGCAACCGTCAACAATCAACAAGTCACGTGCTAACCTTGTACAGAATGTCAGACATCATCACCCAAGCCTTACTCATGCTACGCATCGGCCCCCAACGATGTCTGGAGCCTTGGTGTCATGCTCGTCAACCTCACATGCGGCCGCAACCCATGGAAGCGCGCCTCATTTGACGACAGCACTTTCCGTGCCTTCATGAAAGACCCCAAGTTCCTCAAGACCATTCTTCCCGTCTCTGACGAGCTCGATGCTGTTCTGAGGCGCATGTTTGAGTTCAACCCAGCCAAGCGAGCCACCATTCCCGAGATCCGCGACATGATCATGCGATGCTCGTCCTTCACAGCTACCAAGTCGGCCGTTTCCTCGCCAATGCCCACTCCTTCCTTTGGCCCAGTCGACTACGCCCAGGATGCCGCCTACAACCAGTACTACCAAACTCCCGCCGTTCCCCAGTTTGCTCCTCTCCCTGGCTCAGCTTACGCCCCATCGCCCTTCCAGTCGTCGACCTCTTCGGGAAGCTCAAACTCTGACGGCGAGTCCGTCTTCTCTGCTTGCTCGTCGGCCTCGTCGGCTTCTTCCAACTCGTCGTACCACGTCTCGCAGTCGCAGCTTCCCAAGTTTTCTTCGCGCGTTCCTCAACCCCAACAATACGTTTCTCCTCAGCCTCCCGCCAACACCTGGTTCCAGCCTTTCATCCAGGCTGCCAACCTGGTCAAGCACGTCTCCTTCCAGCCTTCGATCATGGCCCCGGTTCACGTCTACTAGACTGCTCTTCTCCTCCATGGCCCCTCTTCCATGGACTTTTTTGCTTACGAATACGCTTCTTGTCTATGTGTTTATACTATTTTCGAAAAGTCATGATGAGATGAACAGCCATTGATTTCTCGTTAGGTGTTGGGGTGGTTTGTTTTTCCTTTTCTTATTTTTTTTCCCCACCGCGTTACAAAATTAGACCAGTACGGGCAAATTTCTGGTCTTCAACATTAGAATTTTCTGGCCGCGATGGCTTAGCATGTTTAACTCTGTCAAGCAGCCTTGATGGCATAGAGTCTGTTTCTTCGGCTACTTCAATGGGCTTTTGCCGCAAGGGTTAGGGAGTGGGTTTTTTGGGCATTTCTCGGAGTTGTCCCTGTTTGAGCGTTGGGCTCGTCGAAGCCCTCGCTCTATTACGTTCATTTAACTTTTCATATCAAAGATACCAGAGCAAATAGCTCAACAATGTACGTTAGTAGGTCCCAAAAAGAAGGACAAGCACAATTTGCCTTGAGCAAATATCCAAATGACAAAAAAACATACCCAATGGCGCCTGCAGCAATAGTTGCAGGCGACCAGCCAAAAGCAAGCCACTTCCTCCCACATCTACAGTCTTGGTAGTGACATGTGTGTCTATCTCTTTTGATATCCAACATTTGTTCATGTCCAGCTCTACCCTGTTGTCGCAGTCGTAGTCGCCAACTACTGGTCTCGATGACCACTAGCCCACGTATCCGGCCCACTCGAGTCAAGGTGCCACAACGCATCAATCTGCAGCCTCCCCACCACGATTCTGCATCCAGCCCAAAGCACACATGAACTAGTGTGCAAAATCAAAATGGCATCCAACCACGGCCCTAGTCTCTCCACCATCGAAGCTCCACGCCCCGGCCGTCGTCCGTATGCATCTGTCAAGTCCCCACAGCCATGGATGCAAGTGGCCTAGCGCCAACAGCAAATCACCGGTTCCACTACGGCATGAGGTGTGCATACATAACCTTCTGCGTGATGACCATGTAAGTGTGCAGTAGTCTGTCTTGATCTGTCCCAGATGATTGGCTCGAAGCTGCGCCTCTTCTTGTCCCCTTGGCCCGTACAGGCTTAACGCACATGTCCAAATGGATGAATCGCAGATGGCCGTCAACGGATATCAGACGCAGGTGTTGAGGGGACAGTGGTGGGGCGATTGATGACTACATTGCGGGATCGAGACTCCTTGGTTGGGGCTGGACTCTGGCTGTGTGGTTTTTTTGACTTTGGCGCCCTGGTCTCTTTGATTGTTATTTTTTTTTACCCTTGGAGCAGGTGTTTGTTGGGAAAGAGAGAGCAGCCGCCCAACCGGCCGCCGCTCAGACCACGCGATGTTGAAACCCCCCCCCCCCATGTCAAGACGTTTTTGTCAAAACAGCAACAAACAGTGTACACACATTCTCTTTACTCATGTCTGATAAACATACATACTACTACTCATAAAGACAAGTCTCTAGCTGCATGATCGTCCGCAAGCACCTGATTCCTGATGCTTGTTGCAACTCAATACCCGCAAAAGAATGAAAACGACACGTAGGCAGCAAACAGTGAGCAGGTTTCAGTCCTCGCAACCCTCAGTCGTTGCCAAAGGGGGACTCTTTGTCTCTCTATCTTGCTCGTTGATGCTTGACGCCGGGTCAGCTGCCCACCATGGCTGGCTGGGCTGGCTGACTGGCTGGATGGTTTCCCGAATCAACCACCAAACGTCCCTCAGCCTCCGTTGGCCTTGTGTCGTCTCGGCTGTCGGTCCTTCTCGGCCACATAGCGCGTCGCGTAGAAATCTATGTAGGCCTGTATGTATGGATGTACATAGGCATGTGGATGTGTATCTGCCTACATGTACCTTGACCTGCAGAGGGGGCGTCACCGGAATCGCGATGGGCCACCGTTAGATCACTTTTTTGTTTTGGCGGCAGCCAATCCCCATGCATGCAAGCGAGAGCGGATGACGAAGAAAAAGTAATGTACGTCACGTGCCTCGGGCCTGCAATATCAGCAACGCCGTTGGTTGACGTGCAGCCTACAGTAGCTGGCTGGCTGTCATGGGCAGCAAGTGTCTAGGCAGAGCTGGTGCCAAGCCGCGCGGCTGGAAAAGTGAGTCTTGCCAGTCCATTCACCAGGCAGCCTCTTGTTCCTTCTGCCGCTAGCCCATACGAAGAAATGCCTCAATCTCATCCTTTTGCATCATCGCAAATCATCTCGCAGCCACCGTCGACGTCTGCCCATGCACCCTTTCTGTGTGCTCCCCAATCCTATGGAGCCAGCTGTGCAAATCCGGCCATGACTTTTACAGCTTATATCGCTAATTTGCCGAAATCAAGTGCACAGATATTGTCCCGATCAAGGCATCATGTATTGATTCGTTGGATGAATACATACTCACACACACACGTCTACAGGCATCCACTTTTGTCTCTGACGCTCGCTCACCGAGCAACAGCAATGTCACCCAAAACGACGATGCCACGATCCGAAGGAATGGCCTGGCCCCGGCAACGGCTCAGGATCTACACCTGCTTCCATCAGCTCGTAATTTCGAATCCATGTCTACGAAACAAACCCTAGAAGGCGTTGAGACTCGCTCCACTCATCCTTGGTTAACCGCTGGAGACTAACACGATTCATCGCCACTCGCCTAGACATCCCATGTGTCCCTTACCGTGCTTGCATATCCTTGATTTTTTCCGAAGCCGCCGCCTGTTCGTAACGACTTTCCATTGTCCCTCCCATTCAGGCTGCCTTGTCCCAGCCACAAAAACGCCTCGTTTTGCTTCTTTTGGTCAAAGCAAGATCCATCAGTGTGTGCCTCGCTTCTTGTCACGCGGCTGCTGGCGGGTCAATCCTCGCAAGTGTGTCCTTTGGGACGTGGCAGGCCGCACACCGGACACCTTCTTTTTGACTAGGGATTGCTACCTTTGCTCAAAAGTAAGGACTGAGCCTTGCACAGTAACCTTCGTGGCTGTTTGCCCCCGTGTCACAGTAATACGGGAAGCCATCGTCTGTATGTACACGTGCCCGGCTTGTCGGGTCCGCATACTGATCTTGTAGATGGCATCTGTGCTGTGCTTTGGAGCCTAGACACCAAGCACTAGGCTTTCCTTTTGAATCTGGGGCACGGCCTCATCCCGTGAATCATCCCTTCATCAAGGCTGACACTTTGACAGCACATGTGCATGGTTGTGCGGTTGTGCGGCTGTGCATGTGCTACAAGCAAGTGGTACTGTGCCTAGCAGCCAAGTTGACATGAGCATAGTCGAAGCTCGTCCTCTACCATGTTTCGACGAAATCTAGCAATTCTCTGGATCAGGCACTGAACAATCGCACCATGCAATGTCTCGTGGGCGGCTCATGCCAAACACCTTGCCCTGCTCGTAGTCGTACGTAGATCACCATGCTTCGCCTAGGTCGAGAGGCTTACATTTTGTTTGCTACACAAGGAAACATGCAAATGGCACATGCTGGTTACACAGCCTGCCTCAAGTCACCGCTCAGTCTCCTCAGCCACGTTAGAGTAACATTTTACGAGAATATCACATCGTTGATCAGTCATGGCACAAATCCCCCACACCTGGCACAGCGTAGTGCCAACTGTCAGCGTGTGTCCGGCCCCGCCGTATGCTAAGAATTGCTCTTTCTACAAAAGCCATCATCGATTGCTCGGGTAGTACAATCATCATCTCATATGGCTGGCTGCAGAAGAACTCATACCTTTGTGCCATGTACGTGTACCACTGCGTTTGAGCTCGCTACATCCCCCACACGTACGACTGAAGGTATTGGCTCTGCCGCCTTCCCGTATCCGAGACACCGGCCATTTCCAGTACATACGTAAATCATGGGCCGGGAAAGGCATGTGGTATAATCGGCAACGAGAAGCAAGCGACAGCCCATTGTTCCATGCCTGGAACTGCGCACAAAGAGAAGGAGCGTGGAACTGGCAGGTGGCGGGCGTTCCGAAGTGTATGCGTACATGCACTTTATTACCCATTGAGTAAATCACTCGTTCGGTCAGTTTCAACGTCTGCTGTACGGCCTTGAATGGCATGACAGCTGGAAATGTGCTCCCTTTGCACATCCTACAAGGAAACGCTTTCCGGGCCAAGCGCCTACTGATATGACCATGTTTGCCTTTTGCTCGTTCGGACAGTGAAAACGACACCCAAAACCCATGAAGTTGGTACCCTACACAAGGCTGCATGATCGGTCATCAGCACAGGGCATTGGGCATGAAGGAGCGTCGGCCATCGTTCGCTCATGCCAAGTGTGCAACGCTACGGGGTGCGACCTGTCTTCTCTACACCCATGTTGTTGACTAGCTTCATCGACTTGACGCGTTAAGCGCACTACTACACAATCACTTACTATTCCGAAGACCGTTATCGTCAATATGGTCACCAGCTAACATGTGCGGTGGGATGGGATACTGCAGGTACACCGAGTCTTGCCGAACCCGCGAGATATGCGGTCAAGAGCAAGAACACGGTACGGAAACGATGCGTGTCCCTCGGATCGGCAAAGAAAAGCGCTTATAGAATCTGCAAGGAGTGGTTTTGGCCGATTCGCATCTGTAGCGAAAGAAGAATATATCGATCGGGAGTCTCCGACATATGGTTCCCCAGCCTATCCTGACACTCCTCACATGTCTCTCTCTCTCTTCACTTCAATCTCCGAACTCGTACGATTTACACTCCAGGTCCACAAAGCCAACGCCGTTACCGTGCTCCGCTACCAGTAGCAGCAGCCAAACTAGTACCCCACTGGCGCAGATAAAACCACACTATGCTTTTTGTTCCTATCCACAACTCGGAGCACCACTAACAACTAGCCTCCCACTAACCTTTCCGAAAGGAAAAAAAGTAAAGGACCCTTTCAGCCTCTGGGGAGAATGCAAGAAAAGAAAGAAGCCAGTCTGGATCAAGTTTCTAACGACTAACATTCTTCTTTTCCATCTCAACTGTTTACGTATTTCCGCGGGCTGATATTCTCCTCACCCCCGCGGCGGCCAGAAAAGAAAACTACAAAAATTGAATGGTAGGCATGAGCATGAATAAGTGAGAGTGAGAGTGAGAGAGTGAGGGAAAAAAAAGAAACATCTCAGCAAAAACTTTGACTTTTGTGTCCCATTCCCATCCCACACCATCACCTCAATGCATCGGAGAAATTCGTATTTCCAAACTTTCAACCTATGCTTAGATTAGACAAACCCATCCACACAAAAATTAGTAGAGAACGCCGCGCATGATCGGGACCCAAAATCGGGCGGGTTGGAGCCCTTGGCCGTTTTTTCTTGCCCCCCCCCCCCCCC